TCGTGACTATACCTACAATCCGCCCAAGTATAAATTAAGTATCAACGATGAAATTTTTTTGAGCGTTTTTCTTCATTGAAACGAAAATTACATACGTGTACGAAAAACTCGGAATCACGCACAATCGCGATTAGCGTCGAGAAACGCGCGAGCGCACGAAAACTCGAGCTGAGACGTATAATAATAATAACATAACGTACAACGTGCACACCGTAGCTATGTAATCCACGGATTCTTGACGTTCATATATAATGACAGTTAATATACGCTGCAGCTGCAGTCCACGCGATAAAACTCAACGACCATCGAATTAGCGTCGTTCTTCATTTGCTGACTTTAGAAAAGAGCAAGAGAGAGAGAGAGAGAGGAGGTATTTCGCAAGCGCAATAGCTACTTTTCGCCGAAAGGCTTTCGTGACTTGGGTAGATTCCAGATTCTCTCTCCAGGCGCACTCCGCTCTCGAGTTATGAGGCTTTTTTGATACTTATCGAAGAGCAAATATCATTAAGCTATTATTACCTCGTATGCGACGTTGGAATTAAACTCAAGATTAATGCCGATGTAAAGTGAAGTCAGACATTGAAATGCGGGTAAACGGTACTGAGTTTTATTTAAGGTACTATTACACGAAATCTGCGTTGATAATTAATGCGTATGTACTGATTTGGTTTTTCTTGCATAAATTGTAGGAAAATGCAGTCATATATATAGTACGTTTGGTGCAAAGATTAATAAATAATATTCAATTCTATACTACAATTTAAACATTTTTTATTGAAAATGAATGATTTTATACTGATTTAGTTTTTGGGTTAGTTGTTCAATAACTGTATGAAATAATAATTAATGTCAGCATCTACCACTAGATGTCGAGTAACTTTATCTGTTAGTGAAACAGTCAAAATAATACGATAAATTGTGAATCGGGTTGAAATCATTTATAAAAAGAGGATTTAATTCTGCTTTGTAATTTATAAATTTTTATTGAAAAATGTTTTAATGTTTAAATGCTGACTTATTTTGTACATTACTTGCTCAAAACTTTGTAAAAATTTAATGACGCCGGTTTCCCCCAATAGATGGCGAGCAACTTTATCTGTAAATCTGCAAGTGGTAAAATCAAAATAATTGTATAAGTTGAAGTACGATTTTAGAAAAATCTTAATATCTCGCACATGTTTTTAAATCTAAAAAAACACATGGCTTCTACATCCGAGTCTTTACTTTCTATTTTGTACAAGACAGTACTTGTTACGACGCCACCGTTCATACGTTCGACAAGTCAGTACTCGTTGCGACGCCACAGAGTGAACAACTCAGTTAAAGATCGCTTCCGCTGCACCAAATGATTTTTAAAAGTAAAAAAGTATTTTTTGAATTAAAAGTGAGCGTGTGTTTTGTGTTAAGTCGGGCAATACGCCGCTGCACGAGGCTTCGAAATACCGCAACAGACGGGTCGCCGCGTTGCTGCTGATGAGAGGCGCGGATCCAAATGCAGCCAACGAGGAGGGATCGACTCCGCTGCATTTCCTTTGTCGGAGAAACGACGACGATGGCTTGGCGGAGACGTTGTTCGAGTTTTGCGACGAGCGACGGCTGAAGATTCGAGTCGACGCCCGGGACAAGTTGGGCAATGCACCGTTGCACTTGGCTCTGGCCGATCGTCATTATACGGTAGCCGAATTGCTGCTGAGAAGAAGCGTAGACATGAATTTAGCCAACAACCACGGGGAGACTCCTCTGCACCTTGTTGGCCGAAAAAAAGTCGACGTCGACTTTGCGAAACTATTCTTTGAGATCTGCGAGGAAAAACGTCAAACGTTGCGGATCGACGCTCGGGACAAGCTGGGACGTACGCCTCTCGAATGGGCCGTGGCGAACCTCTTGCCCAATACCTTCGACGTACTATTGGATAACGGCGCGGATCCGACCGGCTTCGTTTTCCCAACCAAGAGTCAATTCGACGCGAGCTTTGAGTGCAAGGGCGACGAAGATCACGATTCATTCCCGTCGCCGCTGGTTGAAAAAATGTTCAGGACTCGTTGGAGATTCAAACGAGCGGCCAACGCTCTGGCCGTCCTCGAGCGTCTCGAGAAAAGAGGAGGATACGAGCTGGACCGTAGCGACGCCCTGACGATCGTGAGATTCTTCGCCGAGCACGGATTATACCTCGAGAGTCGCTGCTCATGGTACCGAGACGAGAAGTTCGCGACGGAAGCGAAAAAGATAACGATCGATCCGAGCTGGTCGCTCTACGAGCTGATCGAGACGCCGATCGTGGAGGCGTCGAAACGGCTAGCTTACGAGGACTGCTTCAGACTAGCGCACGAAGATTTCAACTGGCCCGTTTCCATGGATCATTACGTGGCCGCTCACGATCATTTGCGCGCGAAATTGTTGAGAAAATTTTTACGGCGATGGACGCTGGATCCTTTCTGGAAGCTGATTCACTACCGGCTGCCGATTCTCTGCTGTGACATGATCGTGGACAATTTGAAGAACGAGGATTTGCATAATAATTGGCGGCTGAAGGACAAGGCTCGTGACGCCTTCGTTTGATTATCCTTCCAATATCATTGAAATAAATTAAAAAATAGCTGCTGTTGAATAAAATCATAATTATAAAAATGTGAGCTTTTGATTTATAAATTACTGTGGTAACAGTAATAACACTGTCTTTTTGGTAATGCTCCAATAGCTCTCTGGAGTATTTTCGTTAAACAATAAAAATAAATAAAAAAAAAATTAATTTGATAATTTGCCTGCATTTTAACTATCTACCAAAAACCATAAAGAATTTTGATATCGCTCTACATTTTTTAAATCAAAAATAATTGACACGCAGAAATAAACGAAGAAAATGTTTGAATGGCGGTGAATACACCGTTAAAAACATTTATTTTAAACCATTAGATCATAGACGTAAAAAAATAAACATTTTCTTCGTTTTTTTCCTGCGAGTCAATTATTTTTCTCGCTCCCGTCCGAATCCACGCAGGGTACGAAACAAAAAGTGAAACGTATCTCGCAGAAACGCGTTTCGTCTATGTGTGCACGCTTGTACACAGAACATCCGAATCAATGAACGCTATATATAACGGATCGAGAAAAAACAAAATATTTGTTTTTTCCGAACGCGATACGCTCTCGATGTAGAAAATTGCCAACAAAAAAAAGGTACAAAAATGTGCACGCCACGCGAGTTTCGCACGATATACCGCAATTAAAAAGAAAAATAAGAATAATGATAATTATCGTACGCAAAAAGGAACCTCCCCGCGTACGCCAGGCACGTAAAATCAAAGAATCGAGCGCGATGCAATATTCATGCGTAACTTTTAATCCATCATTCGAGCTTCGATTCGTACAATAGAAATCGTCGCGATTCGAGAATATTCCACTGCGTGGACACACGCATTATAACTGCGTATACGATATATATAATATGCGCACGCGAACCGCCACAATGGACGCGAGCAGCCTTTACGAACATTCTATAATATATCGGCTTTGAATCGAGAAATCTCGGTACGGTGGTGGCGGGTGGTTTTGCGGTGTAAATCGCGGAACGCAAACGAAATATCCCCATCGTATAAATACAGGTTGGAAAATGCGCCGCTCGAGAGCTTTTATAATACGACGTATAATACGCGCTGCTGCTTTCTGTTTAAAGCTCTCGTCACAAGTATATGAAAATTTTTCTTTTGATCTTTGCCGCGCGCACACAAGAGAGAGAGAGAGCTAGTGAGCTAATAATGATTGAAAAAGTCGTTGAAAATTGAAATTTATCCGACGTGCTGTTGCTGTCGTTGACTATATGATACATAAAAATATATAATAAAAAATATATGTACGGGGGAGAGCTTGTAAAACAACACGGTTTATGCGCGAGATATATAGCCGAGGTAGAGGTGGTGGCTTGGATGTCGTTACGCGGATAGTTTCGCTCGTCTTATTATACATAAAGTCGTTGTTGGCACTCCACGCCACACGGCTTGGCATTACTCGAATATAGACATCCTAGTTTGCTCGTACACACACACACACACCAAGAGCTCTTACTCGGCATATACATGTAACAGAATTCGTGTGACACGCGGCAATACCTTTTGGCTATCAATTTTATGTAAATATGCACTGCTGCTGCTGCTGCTGCTGTATGTACACCAGAGCATGTGCATATAATATTCGGGGGGAAATGACTTTTCTCCCGGGAGTTTATGTGGCGCAAGAAATGCCGGACGTTTCTGCTGACGCGTTTATCATTGCTCCGGAGTATTTATAAACTTTTTTACCGGCGCGTCCAACCCGGCGGGCGCGCGGGGGGGCGTTTATATTCGAATTTTATCACTGAAAAATTAAGGTATATTACCTTTTGTCGTAGAGAGAGAGACTGCGCGCAGAGTCCTTGGCAGTACCCCATCATCGACGAACAATGAGGCAATCTCGCGGCTGCTGCGGAGGAGGAGAAAACGTTATAACGAATAATGCATAATACCGCGAGCAGAAAAGCCCAAGGAGCGGCGCGGCTCTCTTTGAGCGCGAAAGCCGGAGAAGAAGTGTAAAAGCTTTTGAATGAAACTATATGTATAAGATCTTTTGCCCTCTCGAGGATGCAAATCGTCGCCGTCGCGATTGGATTTTATACACGTCCATAATACTCGTGCCGCTGCTGCTGCTGAGCTTTGAGTTGAGTAGCGCGCGGAGTGGCTGCTGCGGCAGGGCGCGAGACTTTTATTATCGGCTATTATCGAGGCGAGAATTTGCGTCCGATCGTGCGATCGCTCGTTATATAACGTATATATTATATACCAGCTGCTGTAAAAGAAAACAGAGGGAAAGAGGTAGAGCGGAATAAATTTTTACGCATGATGTATCTTCAACAAATTTTTTTTGTATTGTTTATATACCTCCGTATCGTCGATTTTAATAACAAAAATATATTTACAAATTCACATTTTCACGTATACGTAAATTATTTTTATCATTATCATTATTATTATTATTATTAATTATTATTCGTTCAATCGTTATATGCGTCACGAGGAGTACAGCGTTTTATTCAATTCTGCACGCCCGACGTACAATAATTCACATCCACACATCATGATGATTTCGCACTCGACGAAGCGAGAAAAAGGAAAGAAAATAACTCGTGATGAATTCGTGAAAAATAATTTACGCACATTTTTTATTGACTCGTTCGCGAGACGATTACGAAAAAATAAGAAACAAAAAACGTTCACATTATCTCGTGTAATTCGCAACATCAACATATAAATATTTATATATATATAGTAGATCGTCGGCTTATTACGTATCACACGATGTATTATCCTCCAGCGAAGTATATATATATCATATATCACGGATAACGTTGCAGTTTAGTTTGTGTTTATCTTTTTTATTTTATTTTTATCATTTTTTTTTCCCCCCGTATATCTTTATATATAATTAGCGACGCGCGAGTAGTCGAACTTTGAATTACTCTTTACTTATGATTCAACAATTATTAAACTATCTAATAACCTAAGCTCACTGTACAAATATATATATATCGCGTATCCGTATTCCGGAAGGAAATTCTCGACTCTCAACTTTTCGCCGCGTGTGGAAGCTCTCCGTAATCGACGTATTATAAATGTCGCATTAAGCTCTCGCTCACTCGCTATAGCGCTAACACACGTATACACATATAGACACACACACGTTGAGGCAGTATAGTTTTTGGACGATGTTAGAGGAGACGTGATTCGGAGCGAGCGAGCGAGACAGAGATCGAAACTCGATGTTTGCGCAGCATAATTTCCCAAGGAATCGTCGACGTCGGCTGGTGATGTGTATAGATATAGGATAGTCCTTCTTCGGCACATGTTCAGTTTCGTAATCACCTTGTCGGCGTCATTAGCGAAGAAGCCAAGACCAGCGCCGTGGCGGCAATAGCAGCTTCACGAGGCCACGGGGATGTCGCGATAACGATCGAACTGCTCCCACTGGATTCTGCGGACACATGTTCAAAAGACAAAAACCTTTTAATATATCGTGTCGTGCGTAAGCAATATCGATATTTGCATATAATTCTTACCGAATCGAGCAAAAAAATAAAGGATCGAGGAAAAATTTATAATTCCGAGGAAGAGAAGAAGCTTGGCTGACGGGGAGAAAAAAAGCTGTATAATGCAGGCGAAGAATTTCAAGCGCAGGGTGCAGCTCCCGTTAATATTCATATATACACGGTTATGGTGCTGGTGGTGGAGGATGGGAGGGACGATAAAATTTTACGATGCCTTCTGCGGTAGAAAGCTGATTAATGTGAATTAGCGCTATATCTCCGGGGGCTGCTGCGCCGCGTGTGCACTTAAGTGAGATATCTCTGACGAAATTAATGAAGATATATATTTTGAGAAACACGCCTAACCCGACGCCGCCGCAACGGTTTTGCGCACTCGCGCGCGCACGCGAACTTGAGCGAGAAGCGGAGTAAAAATAATAAAATAAAAAATAGCGAGGGAGAGAGAGTGAAGAAGAAGAAGGAGAAAAAAATTCAAGAAAACAGGTGCGAGCTCGTTACACACGTAGACGTTCCTACCATATACAGCGAATTGCCTGGGAGCTTATTTTTGAAAAAGACGCGAGACTGCTACACTATGGACGCGAGAAAGCGTATACGGAGTAAGTGAAACTCGGAGGGGGGTTAAGGATCATTAAATTTAGTTTCCATGTTGCACGTGGCCGGCGCCGATGTATACGTATTATTGCGTAAGTGTAGCGAGTGTTCGCCGCTGTGTATACGAGCCGAAACGCGCTTGCTTTTCAAGAAAAACGTAAATTTAATGCAGATTTAATGTGAAATCGGATATCAAAAAGCAAAGTGAACGATAACGAATTTTCTATTTTACAATTATATGAAATCTTTGTTAAGAGCCAATGTATGATACTGATTTATTCATTTACTTTTTATATTATCTGCACAAAAAGAATCGCAGAGATTTTTAGTCAAACTGCAACAATTTTATTTATTATTGAAGAGGAATTTTTAAAACTGATCTATTTTCTGTGTCAATTGCAAAAAAAGGCATGAAAACTCATTCTAAATTAAATCCAGAGTCCATCGCTAGATGGCGAGATACTTTTATTTGTAAATCTGCAAGTGGCAAAGTCGAAATAATTGTATAAATTGTATAAATTTAAAACTAAAACGATCAGAAAATTTTTCTCCATAGTATGTCTTATTGCTTTAATTGAAAAAAAATTTATAAAAACTCATTCAAAATTAAAGCCAACGTCCATCGGTAGATGCCGAGTATGGCTTTATCTGTAAATCTGCTAGTGTCAAAGACAAAACAATTGTATAAGTCTTAAACTAAAAAGATCGAATTCTAGATAAGACTCAATAATGAATCTAAGAAGATTTAATTCTTGGCAAGACTCATTATAAAAGACTTGTTTCCGTCAATTGTATTGCGTTTATTGTAAAAATACGCATGAAAACTCAATTATAATTTAAGTCAGTCTCTACCGCTAGATGGCGAGTGCCTTTATCTATAAAAAATCTGCAAGTGTCAAAGTCAATATAGTTCTATATAAGCTCTAAGCATAACTCACTCATTCATAATTATGGATGATTGATATTTTCAATTGTATATAGATCACGTAATACGGATTTCTCAGTAACGCGAATCAGTGTTCAGTCAAACTATACCGAGTAGCATGGCTTATATAAATACACGCAATACAACGAACTACGCGCGATTTTTTCCAGTAGTTCCAGTCGACCGTCGGTCGGACTTCCATCAATTTGCATACAGTCGTTATCGATTACGTGTATATGCGGCTCGACACTTACGATGACTGTGCGGCGAGGCGACGTAGGGCCCGTCCTGGCGCACGTCCAGCGACGTGGATACCTTGTAGACCGGCTGTATCTGGGCGAAGCAGCGCAGCCTTATGCGATAGTCCTCGAACAAGCCCTGAGTGTCGACGGTGAGCCAGGAGCGCGTCCGCTGGCGGCCGTCCTCGCCCGTGCCCGCGAGCAGCGTCTGCGTGCGGGTGTTGTACTTCATTCTCCGATTGTCCAGCTTGAATGTATAAAACACGTTGAGTCATCGAGATTCGGATGCATATTTATTTATTTATTTATTTTTTTTTTTTTTTGAATAAAATCGCACACTCACGAGCTTTCCATTGAGCGACCAGGTTATATTGGCAGCGGGTCGAGAAGCGCCGGACGTGCAGTTGGCCCGCAGAGTCTCGCCCTCGGCCAAGCGCTGCTTCTCCACCATAATCCTTGGCTCGGTATCCGGCACGTCTATTAAAACAAGAAGAAGAAGAACAAAATGGTAAACCACCACCGCGAACAAATGAGGAATTCATTCGTATATATATGTAACTCTGGGCTTACCAACGACGAACATGTCGGCCTCCTGGAGCTTGGTGTCGTAGCGCGGCTGATCCTCCGAGACCTCGCACTTGTATCGGCCCGTGTGCTTTCGCCGCACGTTGACCAGCGTCACGTCGTGCATGTTGGATCCGGACACCTTAATGCACACGTGTACACACACATGTTATAGAATTCCGCGCGGACAAAGAACAAGTAAAGAAAAAAATATATATACGTACATCGTAATTCGAGAGTAAAGGAGAGAGAGAGAGAGAGAGCGAAGAAAAGAGTCGTACCGGTACATCGAAGCGTGTGCGAGGTGCAAATTTTATTTTATTTCTCGTATTCGAATTGAAAAAGTTTGCGTGCCCGTTGAAAGGGACCGTGTGTGTGTGAGCGCGTTTGCGCGTAAGGAGACGACGCGAGAGTAGTGTCCGAGAGAAAGAAAGAAAGGAAGAAAGAAAGAAGTAGGAAAAAAAACGACTTAACCAGATACTCTCTCACTGCGACAAGTCCTTCGGCCCGGGACTCGAGTATAGTCCGCCGAATGAGTGACGGGTCTTTTCTTCTTCCTCTCTCTCTTGCGAGCACCGAGAAAGAAAGAGAGAGAGAGAGAATAAAAGGCGAAAAGAAGTATACAAAGACGTGTGCAAGGAAATAGCTCGATATACTTACAAGCTGAATAATCTACTCACGTCGACGGCTTGTACATTTCTCTCTCTCTGCTTCACTTCGCAAATGTAGCGCGTGTGTATTCGTATTATATACATCGAAAAGCTCCGGGTATTATTTCTGTTTTCTCTCCATTCGCGAATGAAAAGAAGCAAAATTTACGGAACATTTACGACTCACGTTGACTTGTATGCTGCGCACCGAGAACGTGTCGTGGGACGGCTCCTTCTTGGGCACGTAGCGATAGAACTCCTCGTCCTCGAAGTACCATTTTATCGCGTAGAGCTGGGCGTCCTCGAGGTCGTAGCTGCAGGTGAGCAGCACCGAGTCGCCGAGCCTCACCCGCTCCGGCGCGACGATCCTCAAATTTTTCAAGCTCGCCGTGCCTGCAACAAGTAATTCAACGAGTAGTTGAGTGCCTCTGTTCGGTGGGTCCTTTGATTTTTTTTTTTACTTTTTATTTTCATGCTTTAGTACGACAAAGAGAAAAGGGAGAGCCTAGCTAAACGCGAAAGGGGGGAAAATACCCTTTTGACTGATGCCGCGCTATTTGTTTCGAGAGCGCGCACAGTAAGAGTGTATACATACAAACAAACAAAAAATAAAAAGGTTAACCTTTTTTACGGTAAAAGAAAAAGACCCTCTCACGCGCGCAATCTTCGGCTGCTGCGTAGAATTAAAAATAAAAAAAAAAGAGAAGAGGAAGAAGAAAAGAAAAAAAACGGAAGAAGAGTAGGAGGAAGACTAAACGTTCGTTCCACCCCAACGAGAGCGAATGCTCTTGACTGGAGGCTGGCCAATAAAAAAGGACTTTTTAAAAAATTGTTCCGAAGCGTTACTGCTGCTGCTGCTGCTCCACTCGCGAAACTTCGTTCGCTATTTTTTTCGTCGGTGTTCTTCTTTTTTCTGATGCCCTATCTCTCGCTCTCTTCATTATCTTCTTGTTTTTTTTTATTTCTTATTCGCGAGTACTCGCAAGTCGCTGTTCTTTTTTTTTACACTTTTACCTCTTCCCCTATACCCCTCGTTGCTCTCCCCGTTCTTCCTTTTTATATTTGCCTGCTATGGCCTAGTATCTAAGCCTGTTTTGTGCTCTTTCCCCCCCGCTCATTATTTTCCTAACGTTTACGTGTATACCACGTGCCTCTCCTACTTTCTCTCGGTATTACACAACTTTAATGCAACGGTGGAATTCCGCTAGGGATTCCCTTTAAATTCTCGATACCGCTCTCCGCCTGCCACTGCCGCCTTATATGTAGAGTACACGCTCTGTGACAGAAAATTTCAACCGAGCTTTATATTGAACGCGTAAAGAAAGCGAAGCTGACATTTTATCGAAAACTGTATATATCCTCCTCGAACGAGCACAGTTGGAGTACGAGTATTAAATTGTTTTTTCTCGTCGATATAAGGAATTCAAAAATAGGAATATTCTATACGCGAGCGATTCGAGCGTTAAATGCTGCTGCTGCTGCGCGCGTTTAGGTATATAAGCACACAGCGGCGATATAATTCCAATTAATATGGTAAACATGGGTTTTAGGGAAAATCATGAGTTCCCATTAACACGTAACTCTCTCTGCCTCTCCGAGGGGAGCCTCGATATATCCATAATGCGGCGCGCTTTATTGTGTCTATATACTATAAGCGCGCCGTACGCGTATGCGTATAATTTGTGCGGTTGCGTATATACGAAGGCGAGGCACATACACGCGTGCGTTCATTATTATATAATAATAATAATAATAAAAGCTGATTTATGTCGGATGTTTAGCGTAGCTTGGCCGCGCATTTACACGTCGCGAATTGAATGTAGGAAATTATTATTTCGTCCGGCAGAAACATTTTCTCCTACTTGTAATTATTTATTTATTTATTTATTTATTTACTCGGTGTACGCGGGATAAAATCGACGTTATTTATAGCCAATACACGTGTTCCAATTTTCGCGCGAGCCAGATAAGAGAGAGAGAGCGAGCACGTGAATGAAGTAAGGAAAAAATACCGCGTCGACGGGATGATTATGACGCGAGCGTGCGGGCATCAATAATATCGATATGATGGCGGTAGAATGGAGAAAAAAAAGACGAATACAATGGGTACGTTCGGCTATTTAAATTCGAGACGAGAGCGAAAAATTCGAAGGAAATAAGTCTCTTTTGACCTACCCGACGCTCTGCGGACTCTCGAACTACGTTCCGTTAATTAAAACCAATTTTTTATAACCCCGAACTAACTGTGGGCCTTCTCTCGCCCTCCATCCAGCAAGTTCACGCGATGTGTGTTTTTTTTTTTTTTTTTTATATTTTTTGGTCGGTGGGCGAGAGAAAGAGGGAAAGAGCAATTTTTTTCTTCTCGTCGCGAGTGGAAAATGAAATTTGACTGTGAAGGATTTGGTCGGTAGCCTCGACCCGACGCGCGCGTGCACAGCGGCGAGTAATTACAGAATTAGAGAGACCTACTTTTTAACGCTACTCCGCGATTTTTTTATTTTATTTTTTTTTCTCTCTCTGCTCGTCCCTCGTACGTATAATACGCGCCCGAGAGGGAGAGAGAGAGCTTGACGGACGAATTTTACGCGCGTCAGAACGATTGTGTGCGTATATATACGTTTTTGAAAATTTCAAAGTAAAAAATTGCTTCGGTTTATTTAGACAATATATTTTTTTTTTTCAGGACGAAGGTGAGAGGACACTTTGCTCTCGAGTCGCACGGGGGTGGACATTTTGACAAATGAAAAATAAAACAAAAAACAAACAGTCCGAATATTACGATAAACTACGCGTCGAGGATTTACGTTTTGCTAGCCATTTCTTCGTGCGTTAAAAATGCAATTATATTCGTATATTCAACGTCGTCGCACGCTGCGCGAGAAATAGTACGAAACATTTTTATTCGGCGAAATAAAAAATTAGCGCTCGTCTTTTTATCTTGACGCTCGTAGCGTGAATTTCATACTGCGATCGTTTGTTTTGGAAGATTTTGAAACGAAGCAAAAGCCGCTTCAACAACAGTTCTGAAGGCTTCGCTGGAAATTTTTGATAAACTAAGGTAAGAGTACCCATGAGTTATCAGTACCCAATACTTGTCTAAGATTTTTTATGAAAAACTGACTTTTTTAGAGAAATCAATAAATTTAATATTCAGACTATAATGCAATAATTCATTGTTTTTTGTTTATTAGTTTTCAAATCGATCTTTAAAATTCATGCTATAACACAAATAATCGCTGGACATTCGCGCTTGAGTTTTCTGCTAGATTTCATGAATTATTTAATAGTAAATTTTTTTTTTACATTGAATTTATTCATTTATTCATTTTTCCATTTTTTCAAATTTATCTATTTAAATCGCGTTTCAAGTTAAAAAATAAAGTAGATGTAAAACGCAAATAAGATTTGCTTTTAATAAATGTCTTATTGTTAAAAAGTCAATATGTGATTTTTAATGCGTACTGTATGGGCAGTAAGAAATCTGAATATCATTGAAAGAAATTGAATATGGTGTTATGTCAAATGTTTATTACATCGAAGCAATATTTTTCATGTTTGAAGAAATCTATTACAATTGATAATCCTACATTTTTTGACTTTATAATTTATCGTACGACTGTACAAAGTGTACCTTTGGTCGAGTTCAGGTAAAACATTTTAAACATTATTAGCTTATTCAAATTACATTCTTACGATACAAAAGCCATTACTTAAAAACATTTTAGTTATAACTACGACTAAAATACATTTGAGTGTCTTGACAAAAAATGTGAATTTATATATGTTAATACGTAATTGTTTCGCTAGAGAGTTCTACTTATAAACAGTTATAAATAAAAATTATTTTTGCATTATTTTGTTTGTATTATTTTTCATAATACAAGTTATGAACATTTATAACTACATTTTAACTACTTCTTCATATTTTGAAATAAATATGTAAGTCAATACTTAAGGCAATGATAAGCAAAAAAACGTTGAAATTCAGTGTTATTTGAGCTGTTGAAGCCGAATAAGTCGGTTTTTTGAGATTTTAAAAGTTTTGAAAAGGCAAAACAAAGCTACAATATTTAATGTAAAAACAAATTGAAAAACTCATTTTAACACTCACAAAACGACATTTACACTATTGACAGGTTCATTTGTTAACAGTTCGGGACTTTGTCCCGAAGCCCCAAAGCAAATGTTGAATAAATCCTCGTCGTTCAACTTCTCGAGCACCATTTCGGAGCACAGTTCCGGTAATCGGCGCTGCGTTAAATTCATAAAAGGTTTCAATGACCAATTTTGGAAAAATCTTGCCAAGAGTCTTTCGCACAGTCGCACGTCACAGATCTGCCAAAGTCTCGTCAACAACAGTTCATCCCATCCGGATGAGCGCACGAATTCGGTATAATTTTCGTAAGTCAGTCGTTCCGCATAATCCTGCACGTACTGGGACCGAATCAAGCTGTAGAGCGACAATCGCCCTGTGAACATTATTTTTTTCGCTTTCTTCGCGAAAGCACTATCGCGGTCGTACCAATTTGGATCGACGTTATCCGCCGACTTCTCGAACATTTTAAATTTAGCAAAAACCTTCATGATTTTCATGGCATCGTCTTGTTCCAACTGATATCCCTTTAACTTCAGTATGTGAAGAGTTTCCAAAGTTCTAGATGCAAAAATTAATTTATGCATTGGCATTTGGAATTTTTTACCATCATAGCCTCTAACTATTTCTTTTAAGTGCGACTCTTCCGGAAAACAGAAGTTGGACAGATCGGCACAATGGTCCAGCAAAATTTTTACCACACTCGGTAGGAAGTTAGCCACGGCCCATTGAAGGGGTGTCCGTTCCGAGTTGTCCTTAGCGTCGATCTGCACCGTTTGTTGCCGATCGTCCATTATCTTGAAGAAAAGTTCCGCCGACTTATCATCCTTATATTCCTGCCTTTGACAGATAATGTGCAGAGGAGTCGATCCTTCTGCGTCGACCGAATTGGGATCGGCGCCGCTTTTTAGTAAAAATTCAATTGTGGTCGTCGAGGCATCGCTGTGCTGCAGTGCCCAGTGCAGCGGCGTCCGATCCGACTCGTCCTGTTTATCGATCCGTACTGGATTCTCCTTGGAGAACTTGTCGCAGAGCTCGACAAAAACTTCCGCCAAATTTGTGTACTTGTTCTTCTTGCAAATGAAGTGCAGAGGAGTTGATTTTTTTGGATGTTCCAAATTCGGATTGGCACCTTTTTTCAGCAGCTCTTCGACCACGCGCGTGTGGCCTTGCTGCAGTGCCAAACACAGCGGCGTCAGGGTGTAACTTTGACAATCGATATTGCGACCGGGCGCCTCGAGGAATTTCGAAACGATGTCGATTCTGCCATGATTACAGGCTATATGGAAATGCGTCATTCCCCGATCGTCGATGTAGGTGACGTCAAATCGGTTGTAAACTTCAAACAGATCCTCGACGACGTTATAATAACCGAATTCGTATGCTTGATGAATCGGCGTTGTGCCGCGCACCGATGTTACCTGGTCGTTTTCCAATTTGGGCTCGTTGTTGTAGCCAGCGTCGATAACAAAACGAATGAATCGTGCAGCTGCTTGACTTTCTTCCCAACTTAATCTTCGTTTCATCCTGTTTGGTATATAATCAAAAATGAGTAACTCTACTTCTCCATCTCCAAAAATTTTTCGAAGATCTGGAGGATTCCCCTCCCAAGCTTCAATTAATGAATCTAGTTTAACTAAGAATTCTAGTCTTTTAATTTCGTTCTTGAAATCAATTGTATTCTTCAGAAACATTAATTCATTCTCGAACTTGTAAAATTGATAAACTTCCTCCGAATCGTTTTCAAGCACGTCCTCATCCATGAATAGAAAGACACCATTTTCTCCGTCGGGCGCAGACATCGTTTTATCCACTCGTTACTAATGAATATATTAAATATTAACTTTAAATCACTCGCTGTGTTGTAATCTTACTGTGTTGTTCACCCTGCGGTGCTGTGATGTGTACTGCGAGTCGTAGAAATTATACAGTAACGATTTTCAACGATTCGGCTGTAGAAACCGTGTGTTTGAAAATTTCGCTGTGTGCTATAAACACGTACGCGCGGATAAATTGAGTACGTAGGCCGCTCTTCTAATGATCAATTTGCCGTATCTTGTAAACAAACGGTCCGATCTCTATGAAAATTTTCGAGAATTTTCTCGAAAATTTTGAGAAACTAATCGTATATACAATATTTAAAAATGACTAACATTATAGACTACGAAAATAAATGATTGAAAATAAGACGTTTTAATGAATGCCGTCGTTTTATTCATTCGAGAAAAGTTTGTAATAAGTCTTCGAAAATGCAAATTTTTACGTCATGACATTATTCAATATTGTCTAAAGAAGATGTGTATACATTTTTAAATCGATTCGCAACAAACGTTAACAATGAATGAGTTGAAATTTACTCACAGATAGGTAAAAGCCTTAGTCGCAAACGTAACATTCGTAATTTTTCAATTTTCGATAAAATAGTATGTAAAAATTCTACGTGATTTGTATCAAAGCGAAAAGAAATAAAAATGATAAAAGTGTGTAATTTGTACACGAGGCTATTAAAATTTCGTTTACGTTATTAAATCAAGAAATTCGATTTACGCCCTTGCTCGAGGCTATGAGACCTGCAGGTTAATGTATGCCGTGCCGAGATCGACGCAAGGTACTCGATACTGCAGCTCAAAAAATAATATAAAAGAGGACGAAGGAGTAATTTTTGTGATGCAAAATGTCGACAACGATGGACAGAGCGTCGCTAAGTAGAAAATTAAAAAATTACACACATTGTAATTGTCTGTTCGTTTATTGCTGTTATCTATGCAGTGAGTTTTATTCTAGAATTTCGCAAACTTTGTATAGACGAGATCAGGTTCGCGACGTTTTATAACAACAAATTCAAATACGATTTCATTGAAAAATATGTGAAATAATTAAATAATTTTGACGGGTACGTTGGCGAATCCGTTTACGGCATCGAAACAAGGGTGATAAAATTGAGGATTTTGTAATTTTATTTTCCATAAGTTCTACTTTTCATATAGTAGTATTTATTTACAAAATAAGATTCGTCATTACTTTTAAAAATAGAAATAATGTAACTCATCGTAAAAAAATAGGTTTATGTTGTTTGTTCTTAAAAAAAGTCTTATTAATCAACAAGGAAAATTTTACAAGCAGAAGAAAATAATTTCACATCCACGAACTACAAAAGTATACTTTTGTGTTATTTTAATCACAGTAGCCGAATACAGACGGCTTTTTCGTCATTATAAAGTATTTTAGTAAAAAGTAATAAGGGTTACAATATTCAGTGACAAATAAGTAAATGATTCGCGCAAATCAACCATTTGAATGCAGTAGACTACCCTGACGAGACAACCAAATAAAGTTACAATATTTAGCGTGAAAACAAATTAATAATTAACATAAATCTTCTCGTTATTTTTCTAAAATTATATTATGTGTTCAACAAATGAGTCGTGACTGAGTTGTATATCAATTTTCATACGGTTGTCCTTCGATGTATCTACCTCTCTTCAATCGGGTATAATCTTTCATCACCCTGCACTAGAGCCCAAGGACATGTGAAATTCTTCGGATAAGGATATTTTAATTTTTCAATTAACTATTTTTACATGATTTTGCAAATTAGTATTTTGCCAAAAACCTTTCCCATAATTTTCGCATATGCGTTATTTTAATTTCAGATGAACTACATTTGCCTCGTCAGATTGGTTCTTAGTCCAAAAGACCTGTCCCACTCTCCACATTTATAATCCTTGACTTTTTTTATGAATTGTAGATATGTGATTATCTAAGTTACTTTTTTGACCAAAAGACTTTCCACATTCCTCACACTTATGTTCTTTGAGTTTCAAATGAACTATATCTATGTGCCTCATCAGATTACTTTTCACTCCAAAAGATTTGCCACACTCTTCGCATTTTTGATCTTTTATTTTCAAATGAACTGTATCAATGTGCTTCATTAAAGTCTGTTTTTTTTCAAACGACTTGCCACACTCTCCGCATTTTCGATCTTTTATTTTCAAATGAACTATATCGATGTGACTCATTAGAGTAATTTTTCGGCCAAAAGACTTACCACACTCTTTGCATTTGTGATCTTTAATTTTTTCATGTACTGTGGCAATGTGTCGATTCAAGTCGCCCTTGCGACCAAAAGACTTTCCACATTCCTCACACATGTGTTCTTTGAGTTCCAGATGAACTGTATCAATGTGCTTCATAAGATCACTTTTATAACCAAAAGACTTTCCACACTCTCCGCATTTTTGATCTTTTATTTTCAAATGAACTGTATCAATGTGCTTCATTAGATAACTTTTATCACTAAAAAACTTTCCACACTCGTCACATTCATAATCTTTGATTTTCAAATGAACTGCATCTATGTGACTCGTCAGATGACCCTTATGTGCAAAAGATTTGCCACACTCTCCGCATTTTTGATCTTTTATTTTCAAATGAACTGTATCAATGTGCTTCATTAAAGTCTGCTTTTTTTCAAAAGACTTGCCACACTCTCCGCAATTGTGCTCTTTGATTTTTTTATGTACTACAAAAATGTGTCTACGTAAGTTACTTTTGTCACCAAAAGACATTCCACATTTCTCACACATGTGTTCTTTTATATGTTCTACCGAATCTGGCATTTTTACAAACTTATCACTTTTCAGTTGGACTATGTTCCCACTGAACTACTACTTTTCTACTGTTTTAATTTCAAGTCTTACCTTCTCAGTTTCTTATAGAGAACTTTAACATTCAACCGTTGAAATTTGTTTACTTCAGAACTAATGTGTCGAGTCATCACGCAAGAAATATTAATTATATGAGTTATTCAAAAATTTTGATAATAAACTATTTACGTTTTTTTTCAAGTTTATTAAGGGACACTGTTGGTCCATCGTGGGCCTTCCAATACACAAAAAAACTCCCAGGATTATTACTGATATTTTCAATTTAAAAACATATAAATTCAATGTAAAAATGTACTTATTTAAAAGCATTTAACAAATGTTTCAGAGAAGCTGTTAAAAATAAAATGTAAATTTACATAATGCATAAAAAATGTGAGTTAATATTTGTTAATACGTAATTGTTTCGCTAGAGAGTTCTACTTATAAATAGTTGTAAATAAAAATTATTTATTTTCATAATGCAATTTATAAACATTTACAACTACATTTTAACTTATTTTTCATATTTTGAAAAAAAAAATCTGTCAATACAGAAGGAAATCATGAGCAAAAAAAAACTTGCGCATTCAAGGACTGCAAAGGTAAAATTCAGTGTTATTTAAGTCGGTTTTTTGAGGTTTTAAGAGTTTTAAAAAAACGAAATAAAGTTACAATATTTAGCATGAAAACAAATTAATCATTAACATAAATCTTCTCGTTATTTTTCTAAAATTATATTATGTGCTCGACAAATGAGTCGTGACTAAGTTGTATATCAATTTTCATACGGTTGTCCTTCGATGTATCTACCTCTCTTCAATCGGGTATAATCTTTCATCACCCTGCACTAGAGCCCAAGAACATGTGAAATTCTTCGGATAAGGTTTTTTTAATTTTTCAATTAACTATTTTTACATGTTTTTGCAAATTAGTATTTTGCCTTTAACCTTTCCCATAATCTTCGCATATGCGTTATTTTAATTTCAGATGAACTACATTTGCCTCGTCAGATTGGTTCTTAATCCAAAAGACCTGTCACACTCTCCACATTTATAATCCTTGACTTTTTTTATGAATTGTAGATATGTGATTATCCAAGTGACTTTTTTGACCAAAAGACTTTCCACATTCCTCACACTTATGTTCTTTGAGTTTCAAATGAACTGTATCTATGTGCCTCATCAGATTACTTTTCACTCCAAAAGATTTGCCACACTCTTCGCACTTGTGTTCTTTAAATTTCAAATGAATGACATCTATGTGCTTCATCAGATTACTCTTTTCTCCAAACGACTTGCCACATTCCTCGCACATGTGTGCTTTGAGCTTCAAATGAACTATATCTATATGCTTCATCAGATCACTTTTCCCTCCAAAAGATTTGCCACACTCTTCGCACTTTCGATCTTTGATTTTTTCATGAACTGTGACAGTGTGCTTACTGAAGCTTTTCTCGTATCTAAAAGTTTTTTCACACGAATTGCAGGTGTAATTTTTAATTTTTTCATGGACATTTGTAATATGAACACTCAAATGTTGTTTTGTGTCAAAAGGCCGTCCACAACTTTCACACAAAAACTTTTTTAGCTTGAAATGAACTGCATCTACGTGATTGTTCAAATTGTGTTTAGTTGATAAAATCTTACCGCAATAATCGCATTTGTGACGTATTTTGCTATTTTGATTTCCGAATTTATGTTTTACCGAAGCTGGCATTGTAACAAACTTTTAACTGTTGACTTCTCGCTTGTATTATTTACCTAACGGTACTACTATGTCTTTACTATTCTAACTTCGAATCTTATATATATTCAGAACTTTTACGTTCAGCCGTTGAAATTTTGTTTACTTTGGAAACAATGTCATCACGTAAGAAAAATCAATTGTATTTATATGAGTTATTCAAAAATTTTGGTAATTAATTAATCACATTTTTTTATTTTAGTACTTTATGATTTGTTTTTCATTCAATTTGATTTAGCTCAATCTGCTAAGAATACTAATTATTTATTAAGGTACACTTTCGATCCACCTTCCAATAATCCATAAAAACTTCCAGGATTATCATTAATATCTTCAAGTTAATCATACATTTGTATATAAATTAAACATGTATATAAATTAAATGTTTAACACAGGTCTAAGCTCAGCAATATATAGAGAGCAGCTGTCAGAAATACAAATAGATCACGCACATTGCATCCAAAATTTAAGTTAATATATTGGTTAATACATCGTAATTTTTTTGTCAGAAAGTTCTAATTTTAAATAATAATACATAGAAATTATTTATTCAAATAAAACAATTCATCAAAATGTATAGAAATAAAATCAATAAACTACTTATTCATATTTTGAAAAAATATAAGTCAATACAAAAGGAAATATGAGCAATAGAAAAAAATGTGCCCATCCAAGGACTGAACTGTTAAAATCAATCAATCCATTCATCACATAAAATTATATTATGGGTTCGACAATTGAGTAGCGACTAAGTTGTATATCAATTTTCATTTGGTTTTTCTTCAATATACCTAACTCTCTTCATTCGTGTGTAATCTGTTATTACACTGCACTAAAGCCAAGAATAATGAAATTCTTCGGATAAGGATTTTTTCATTTTTCAATTAACTATTTTAACATGTTTTTGCAAATTAAATTTTCACTAAAAGCTACCCAAAAATCTTTACATATGTATTTTTTGAATTTCAATGAACTGCATTCATGTGTCTTACTAGATTACTCTGTTTTCTAAACGTCTTACCACATACCTCGCATTTTTAATCGTTGATTTTTTTATGAATTCTGGTAATGTGATGATTCAAGTTATATTTGCTACCAAAAGCTTTTGCACATTCTTCGCATTTGTGTTGCTTAAGTTTCAAATGAACTACATCGATGTGCTTCATAAGACCACTCTTTTGTCCAAACGACTTGCTACACTCGAAACATTTGTGTTCTTTAAGTTTCAAATGAACTGCATCGATATGACTCATCAGATGACTATTTTGTCCAAACGATTTGCCACACTCGAAGCATTTGTAGTCTGTGATTTTTTCGTGAACTGCAGCAATGTGCGTATGCAAGTAACTTTTTTTAACAAAAGACTTGTCACATCTCTCGCATATGCTTTCTTTGATTTTCAAATGAACTGCATCTATGTGCATCATAAGGTTACTCTTTTGTCCAAAAGACTTTTCACATTCTCCGCACTTGTGTTCTTTAAGTTTCAAATGAACGGCATCTATGTGCTTCATAAGACCACTCTTTCGTCCAAACGACTTGCCGCACTCTCCGCAATTGTGATCTTTGATTTTTTTGTGTACCACGTAGATGTGTTAGTTCAAGACACCTTTTGTACCAAAAACTTTTCCACATTCCTCACACATCTGTTCTCTGGTTTTTAAATGGACTTGATCTATGTGCATCATCAAATCCTTTTTTCGTCCCAAAGCTCTGCTGCACTCTTCACATTTGTGATCTTTGATTTTTACATGAACTGTGGCAATGTGTCTATTCAAGTCACATTTATAACTAAATGATTTTTCACACTCATCGCAAGTAAAATTTTTAATTTTCTGGTGGACATTAATAACGTGTTTGTTCAAATTGTGTTTCGTGACAAAAGACTGTCCACAATCGTCGCAAACAAATTTCTTCAGCTTGAAATGAACTACATCCACGTGATTGTCCAAATTACTTTTAGTTAGGCAAATCTTACCGCAATAATCGCATTTGTGACGTATTTTGCTATTTTGATTTCCGAACGTAAATTTTACCGAGGCTAACATTGTAACAAACTTTTGATTTTTCACTTCAAATCTGCTCAATTATACTATCAATTATGCTATCTACCGACTGGTAATACCAAGTCTCCGTCGGTGCTCTCATTTCAGATCTCATGTTTACTCTGGACTATGAGATTTTTCCGTTGAAATTCTGCTTACACGAAAATTAATTTATCGGTCCATAAAACTACCAAAATTAATTTGCATGTATTAGAACTACATTTTTTGCGCTCGATACTAACTAACGCAGCAGCAGCAGCAACGGCAGCTGCAAATTAAGTTGCACCTGTCGACTTGGCATGGAAATTGTACTATATAATCTACGTGTTACCGTGTCAGACAAGTGTTGGCACTGTATGTGCTTGTGTTTATATAAGCAACTCGAAAACGATACTGAAGCTCACACACACACATACACACACACACTTGCCAACCGTATCAGTTATATATGTATATATAAACGCATACGATGTACGCGATACGCGCGAAGATACCGTACGAAACTAACTGAATTACCTTGTAAATTTCAAGAGCACGAAACAACGCGGGCTAATTGAACGTTTATTTCGCGCATAAACAAGCTCGTTTTCGTATGCATAGCTGCTGCGCGTGTACTTATTCGCCGACAGTTTTCTAGACCCGCTGCATGAAATAACACGTATATATACTATATATATGTTTTATTTCGCGCGCAGCCGTTAAAACACGTGTAAGTGCACCAGTTGCGACATTCGTACGGAGAGAAGGGGGTTGAAAAAAATATAATATAGCTACATGCTGGCGTGCCGCGGCGTTACGCGACCTAAATTTGTGAAAATTTCATTCGATTCAAGCGTTATTACGTACGAAGCTTTTGTTGCTGTTAAAATGACACCGACGAAGTGTTTGTATCGCATTTCGAAGCTAATTTATACACGCGCTCGTGTCGTTTTGTTATTTATTCCTTTTTTTGTGTCCCACACCTCTTCGTTAAAATCCCGCGCCAGAGATTCGATATATTATAAACGCGAGAATTTCCGTGCCTGCGAAATTTTAGCGGCGCAGTACGAGTCTCTCGAGGCAGCAGCAGCAGCAGCGGCAATATAATCGAGGAAAATTTTCGAGCGCGACGGAAGGAAAATTGCACGGTTTGATGAATAGCGCAGCGATAGAAAGGGCATATGCGCGCGTACTAATATAATACAGTAGCAGTAGTATTATACGCCGGGGCAAAGGAGCTGGTGGATGAGTTACGCTTTAAAGGGCCCGTGCGCGCGCTTAGAAATTATTTCATCGAGAGACGATGACTTCGCCGGGGATAAAGCGAGAGACGTAGTAGAAAGACAATCTCTTGTATGAAGTATATTTTCCCACCCCCTTCGAGTCGAAATTGAGAATATAAGTGACCCATCCTCTTCTCGATCCCTTCAGTTTATATAAATAAGATTTTGTATCCGGAAGTTCCCTCGTTTCGGATCAATTAAGAAGCGTTTAATTTCTAAATTAAAATCAAGCTCGGGTTAAGTAGACTCGATAAAATATAAGACGAAACGAAAAAAAAATCGAATGAATCGTATTATATGGTGGGGTGAATCAAATATTCGAAGAATAGAGAGACGACGCCGAACGGTATACAATACGTACATAATAGAAATCTTCAATGGGATTTCGAGACTTTGAATGTGGTGAGACGTAGCACATAGCTACGCGGAACTCGCTCCACGTAATGATATAACGATCTCGTCAAGGTGCGGCTCGTGCGCAGATATTATGCAGATAAAAGCTCGGCGCGTATATACAGATGTAAGTATACGCTAAGGAGCTTAAATTGTGTTCGCTTCGATGGAGCGACGCGTCCGAAAGAAGAAAAAAAAAATCATCGTCGTCGTCGTCGTCGTCGTCGTCGAGCTCGAAGGTACTCTAACGAAGCGCGCGCGGCACGACGTTTATTCGTCGAGCAATTTTATTCTCCATGTGTTTTATACCTTCGGAAGAGAACGCGCACGCTACTAAGGCCAATTTGAAAGTGAAATAGAAACTGCCGCTGCTGCTGCTGCTGCGGTCCGCTCGGACGCGCGCGTACTTTTAACACGGAAAAAATTACTTCTCTCTCGCAAGATAAAGGCCGCGAGGGTAATTGAGTCACGGGGGCTTGGCTCGTCCGCACGTACACCTGGATACATAATGCAGCTTAATTTTTTCTGCGTCTCTCCGCGTGCGTACGTGTACTATACACGTGTGTGTGTGGGAGTGTGTCCGTATGTGTGCAAGAGAACCACACACAGCGCCGCAAATTACGAGTCAAATGAGAATAAGTGCATAATGGAGAAGACATTTTCTCTCTCGGGGAGGTGCGCGCGCGTGCGAACGAGCCAGTCGAAACTGTAATAAGATAGAAAATACCCGTACCGAGGGAAGGAGCGCGGCGAAAAAGTAAGTAGCGGAGAAAGGAAAGAAACGAAATATGTCGCGCAACTTGTAACGAAAGCGATTGTTCGATGAATGAAGAAACGCCTCGAGCCCGCGCGCGAATTTATAATTTCCCATTACGCAGTGGTGTACGCGTTAATTTTCTACAGTTCAGTTGCATTACTTTCCCTTTTTTCTTTGTTCCTCCTTTTCAGAAAAAAAAAACAGACAAAATTTCAACGATCGTTGACGCGCTTTTATCGAGCGTGGGAATAAAAATTTTCATTATTAATCTAGCGTACCCCCCCCCCCCCCCCCCNCCCCCCCCTCCACTTCACGAAAAACTCACGAGTGTTGTATGTGTGTATGTGTGTATGTGTGGTCGTTGGGCACAGTGTAGTGAGCGAGGGAAAAAATATTGCCAAGGAAAATTATTTTTCAAGAGCGTATTACGGCTCTGGCAGAGCACGCGAAAGCAAGAGTGAGAGAAAGAGAGAGAGAGCTATATATTTTGTGTGTTCGTGTGTGTGTGTGTGTGTTATTTTTTAAAGGTCATAAAGAAAGCTCACGCCCGGAATAATGCGCGCGCGCGCGCGCGCGACTCGCAAATGCTATGAAAAAGTTTTCATCATTTTAACCCCCTTCTTTTTTTTTTTATTTTTATTTTTTTATACACTCAACGAGGTGCTGCTACTGCCGGAGTGCCGCAGCGTTCGTAACGTATAATATAATAATCGCTATAGTGCCGCGCGCGGGAGTATATCGAGGATAAAAAAATCATTTACAAACGCACGCACCGAGCTGGTAATAAGAGCTGTTTTTTTTATCTCTCATATTAAAGAGACGGAAAGAGCCACTGGGAATTAATAAAGCTCCTCTCGAAATGAGTATATAAGGAGCGAAGCGGTGCCGGGGCTCGCGCGCGCGCGGTTCTTTATTATCGGTACACAATAGGCGCGTTCCGGCGAATTTCCGATAAAAATCAACCTTATATCGTACAGTCGGTCTGCGTATACGTGTGTGTGTGTGTACAACTCGCAAGATTTCCAGAATCACTTTATATTTGCATTAAAGATCAGGCGCGCGCGAGGCGCTGACATGGCGCGGGGGGATCGGGCAAACTTCCTCGGCGAGGACATATTTTATCCGATAAAGTTTTTCGTATGCCGCCTGGCAGCGAGAGAAGAGCAAAAAAAAAAAACTTGATCGAAATTCATTTCCATGAATAAAATGCACGTGTGTGTATGTGTGTGTGTGTGTGTAAATACAGGCTATGCATACATGTGCCCGCGTAAGCGGAGCATTGTGATCACGAAGTAAAATAAGTGAAACGACATAGTTCGAGTAAAGCAAAAAAAAAAAATGTCGAAGCAGACACGTCTGCACATCAATGAGAAAGGCGAGTTGAAGGAGGAAGGAGGAGGAGGACGACGACGACGTTTGACTACGAGAAAAGGCGCAGTCACGTCCCGCATAAGGAAAAGTCCGTTTAACATGCGAAATCCGACGATCGGATTACTTTTTTCCCTCCCTCTGGAACGAAGGCAGGAAACATACGTTTCTATGCTAATGTAGCCGGGTGGAACCCGCATCTGGCCTACTCTTTGATAGTTTGGGTAAAATTTCGTCTATGACTTACTGCTGACGAGGAGAACGAGGACGAGACAGCACGAGGACAACAGTCGAGCTGGGCCCGATGAACTGCCGCGACTCGACCGCGGCCACATCCTTGCGGCAAAAAGAAATTTTTCCGCACTTTTATCGTCTGCACTCGGAGCACCAACCGAGACCACTAGCCGAGCACATGATAATAAACAACAGCAGCAGCAACAACAACAACGAACTGTGGTACACTGACACCTCGAGGAATCGGCAGATAAGAGCTTTGAGCGTTTACGTACGGAGGATAGGCAAGCAGCTCTCGAAGCGACAGCCGAGTCGCGACTGACTGACTGACTGAAGCTTCTCTCGCATCAGGGGGGATGCTGCGGCGGCTGCTGCTGCTGCTTTGGCGTCGGCGATCGCGTAAGGGCGCAGACTCGAGACCGACCACCCACTCGAATCCCACCCACGCGCGATCCGCACTGAAATTGTGCACACGCGAGTCATCGGCCCGGCCACTGCTGCTGCTGCTTCCTTATTATGTGTATTTGTAGCGATCGTCATCTCATCAAGACGCTGCACACGTGCCGATGACTGCGGAGAGATGCATGACGATCAACCCGATTGACCCTTCGCGTGTCAGATTTAGCCGCCTACGCACGGGGGAAGTAGGATGTGTCGTTTGTTTCGCGAATCAATTCTGTTTACTGCGGATCTTTTATCCACGCACAAAATACACTGAGAAAAAAATTTTGTATTTCATATTTCACAAAATTAATGAAATGAATAAAAAAAATTAATAAAATTATGATTACTTCGATGAAATATTTGATTGGCAGACATACCAAGTATATATTTCACTAAATTGACGAAATGCTTTATTGTTAGGATTACTTGATCTATCAAGTTGATGAAACTAGTTTCATTCAAAATATTGTTACGAAATATTTTATCAAAACAAGAAAATATTTCATTGGTATATGTCAAGTAAATATTTCACTAAATTGACGAAATGCTTCATTGTTAGGATTACTTGATTCATTAAGTTGACGAACTTAGTTTCATTCAAAATATTGTTACGAAATATTTTATCAAAACAAGAAAATATTTCATTGGTATATGTCAAGTAAATATTTCACTAAATTGACGAAATGCTTCATTATTAGGATTACTTGATCTATCAAGTTGATGAAACTAGTTTCATTCAAAATTTTGTTATGAAATATTTTATCAAAACAACGAAATATTTCATTGGTATATGCCAAGTAAATATTTCACTAAATTGACAAAATGCTTCATTGTTGGGATTACTTGATTTATCAAGTTGATGAACCTAGTTTCATTCAAAATATTGTTACGAAATATTTTATCAAAACAAGAAAATATTTCATTGGTATATGTCAAGTAAATATTTCACTAAATTGACGAAATGCTTCATTGTTAGGATTACTTGATTCATCAAGTTGATGAACCTAGTTTCATTCAAAATATTGTTACTAAATATTTCATTGATTTAATAATCCGTAATAAAAAATGAGTCTAATGTTTTGCCGCTAGAGGGCATTCGGCAACTATTTTCTCGTTTCCGCAAGTGACGAAATATTTTTAGATTGGTATATAAGGAAGGTTCATCTTGTGTCATACGACACAATTTTAGTATGTGTTTACATGGTAATCTCATGCAGATAAACGCAAGACATGTATAAATTGTCTTAGTGACAAAGTATTTGTGGTCGCGGCAAGAGAAGGACTTTATTACATAATTGTCTGCACTTTTTTTATAAACACTTTTTGGAAAGATTTTTCCATCTGTTCACAAATGAACTTATATGCGTAAGGAGTCAGGAAGTCGAAATATTTTTTCAAATCTTCATTTTCTACACTAAGTAGTCTTGTGGAAACAGCACGTATTACTTTAAAATTCCTTTCATTTTCATGAAAGTTTAAATAATTTAGTAAGTTGATCACGGTCTCGTAGACAGTACCTTCCTTCTGAATAAACTTTTTGAGTTTTCCATTCAGACTTTCAACCCTATTATTCGTGAAATTATGCCAATTTTTCGTCATCATTATTGAATAATATTCTTTGGTCATTCAACTGCTGCTAATTTTTTGGTTAGTAGCAGCCGTTAATTTAGAGTTTATGAAAGGCTGCGTACGGTAACATGAATATGTGACAATCAATACGGCTATAGTCTCTCGTAATAGTCCTTTTAGAAGTGACACTTCTCTAGTCGCATTTGGTACGATAGGTAAAACTGTGAAAAGTGAGCATTGAACGTACGTAAGGTATATGCCCTTATTTTCGACCATGTCCCTATATTAGGTCAATAATTAATTAATATTAAAAAACTGAATTGTACGTAAGAAAATTTTTTTTAATAATTGGCTGAATGAATCGAAAATCTTCAACAGAAATACATTATTCAAAATCAAATATCAAGTTTCAATCCTACAAAAAAATTGATTTAAATTTGATCGAAATTAGGGACCAACTGATCGAAAATAGGGGCGTATACTTTACTCGCAATTCGGTATAATTTTATTTTTTAACAAAAATATTTGTATTTTTCGCGTATTTGACTAATTTTGGTTTCGATAAGATGCCGTAAGGCAATGAATATACATAATTTGCGAAACTCATTGTTTCAATTTATTTATTTGATTAATATTAAAAAAAATATATAACGTTAAAAGGCATTAGACACTGAAAAATACCACGAATATGCCCACCGCCATCATGAACTTGGGATTGAAGCAGCCGAGCAAATACTATATAGCTCTCTGTTCGTGAATGATTCATCGATGATGATTTCACAGCACTCGAGTGGCAGTCAGTAATTTATCAGCTCCATGAAAATTACCAGGGCCCAGTTGCGGAAAAATCGTCTTGACATTTTCTCACAGAGATGCATGTAACAAGCCTCGTCACTTTCGGAAAGCACGTAAAATAGTACCGAGTCGGTCTCGAAGAGTAGCACAGTTTCCGCCTCTTCGGGTCGCATTCGGATCAGATCATAGAGCGACAAATTGGGAACTATCATTTTCTCTCTGGTTTCGTTCACAACTCGCTCGTCGTCGTACCAACAATTTTCAAGATCCTGCGACGGCTCCTCGAACAATCTGTGCTTGACGAAGAATATCGATGACCGTCAGGGCGTCGCTTGAGTCCAGCTCGTATCCTGCGCTCTCGAGAATTTCGATCGTGAGCAGAGCGCTGGACGCTATTGCCATTTTACACCCGGAATAATAATCAATTTTCGGATCGAAGCCAGCGCCGTAGTAAGTGGGGTTCTCATCTAATATGGGAAAATCGAAGCGAGACATCTCGGCGCCACGATCCAAGAGCGCATTGACCAAGAGCGGCTTGATCCTCGCCACGGCCCATTGCAGCGGCGTCCGACCCAACCTGTGTCCCGAGCGTCGATCTGCACGAACTGACGATTGCCGTCGCAGATCTCGAAGAATAGTTCCGCTAATTTGTCATTGCGATGCTTGCAAATCAAGTGTAGAGCAGTCGATCCAAATGCATCCATTAAGTTTGGATCGGGCTCCGTTTCTCAGCAGTAACTCCGCCATTTTTTCGTTGAGGTGGCGCAGCGCCAAGTGTAGCGGCGTGTTACCGTAAGTTGTCCAGGGCATCGACTCGCACCCTAAATCGCTGCGCTCGCTCGTCGATCTCGAACAACGTCTCCGGGAATCCAAAACAAGTGGAACGGATGCAAATTTCATGCAGAGGTGTCAATCCTTTCTTGCTGGCTAGATTTGGATCGCGGCGCCTCTTCTCAGCAGCAGCTTGACCACTTGGTCGCGTCCGTATTTCAAGGCCTCGTATATAGCGCCGCGTGTGACCCCCGTTGTCGCGAGCATCGACGAGCACCGTCTGCCCGATCGCGTCGCAGATCTCGAAGAACGCTTTTACCGAATCTTCGTCGATCCTGCCAACGACGCGCAGAGCTGTTTCCCCACGCGCATCGGCCGAATTAGGATTCGCGCCGCGTCTCAGCAGCAATTCGGCCATTTCTCTATTGCGGTAACGCAGAGCCTTGCGCAATAGGTCTCGCTGTTGTACGTCGATTATCTTCGATGCGATCTCCGACAAGTTATCGTCGTGAAATTTCTTGAAAACGCGAACAGAAGTCGATTCATTTATCCATCGTTTGTAGAAATTGCTTATAAGCACAGTCGATTCAGAGCGTGGATCGGCGCATCTTCTCACTGCCACAGGAGTCAGTCCTTCTGCATTGACCAAAGTTGTCTTGGCCCTACTCCTCGCCAGCATTTCAGCGATCTTCCTGCGGCCAAAGATCGCAGCCAAGTGTAGCGGCGAATTGCCCGTTCCCGTCGCGACGATGTTGGGATCCTGGCCGAGTTCTAGGAATTTCTCGACGACGTCGGCACAACCGAACTGGACGGCCACGTGGAAATGCGTCGATCCAGTTTCGTCGATGTAATTCGTATCGCACTCGTACACTTGGAATAGCTCACGGACTACGGCAGCCAAGTCGAGGGAATGTTTAGCCGCGTGATGTATCGGTGTAGTTCGACGCAACTGTGGCTTGCCGTCTTCGTCGAATTGGGACACGTCCTTGTAGCCGCTGCGAACTACAAACTCGACGAATGCTCGATAAGGACTTCTGTCTTCCAAAATGTTTTTCACGCAATCCGATAGAAGACACTCGATTTCTTCGGGTCGAAAAATGTCCAGGAGATTTGCAGGTTGGCTCTCGCAATTGCTGATCGAAGCCTCGAGTCGACGAAGATATTCAAGTCTCTCGTTTTCGATACTCCAATCCTTAGGATGATCCACTTGTACGAGGTCACAGGCCGAACGAAACATTTTGCGCACTCACACACACGGTACACGATATTACGAAGTATTTTTTTTTTTTTATATTTTATAGTCACGAGTGCCCCACGTGTTTAGTCGGTCGATGCGATCTTCGTGTATATATAGCTGTTCACGTTGCGGCGTCGTAACTCGTACTACATACTTTTACTCCGTGACTTTCACTTTCTACTCGTTACCGAATGACACGACATGCACGAAACTACAGATGCGTTGCTACGGCTACTTTCACCTAAAACTTGGATTGGCTGTGACTGCGACTTGGTGACCACTTGGTGCGCTGCGCAACGACCTTAACAATTTCGAAATGACCCTTGTTCGTGAAACTTTCCACAAGGAAAATCGCTTTAGCCCTCGGTGACGAGTCTTTCCCAAAAATTTCTTTGGGATCTCTTGCAGATACACGATAATGAGGCTTCCTGTGCTTGGTTTGAACCCATGGGCCTTGAGACACATTTTAAAAGCGTTTTCAATTTTATTCAAAAATCTCTTCGATTTTTTATTTCGAGAGAGAAGCACTTGAACGAAAAATTGCAAAGAACGAAAAGTTTTGAAATTTCGAAAACAATCTGCCTAAATTTTTTTTAAAAAGTCCTAAAATCTATGAAAAACTAGCGGCCTCAGAACTCACTACTAAAGCTTGTAAATGACCGAAAATTATTTATGAAAAATTAAGTTAATTATCTCTTAAAATTCAATGAAAAAGAAAATCTCAAAAATTTGAAAAAATAAATCTAAAATACTATGATATTAGCTGTCTATATACCGGCATCAAAAGTGAAACTTCTCTATAATTAATTTTTTCCGCTGGGTTTCATTAATCATTTTCGTTTTCAGACGATTTCACATACAAAACACAAGATACTCATACAATTTTACCTGTAATTATGTAATATGTTGAGGGCGTAATTGAAGTTTTTTAAATAAATAAAAATACATTATATATTGCATAAAAAACTGTTAAAATATAGATTTTTAAAAATTTATTTTTACACAAGTCAGCATTTACACATAATATTACTTTTGCATTGAAGTTTAATATTGAACATTGTTCTAGTAAATTAACTACTAATTACAAGCAATTTTCAATTGCTTTGAAACATAATTATTCAACTCAATTACAAAGCTAAAAATATTTTCTCAAATCACTAGCTCTCTTTTCTTGTCTGATCCTCTCGCAAATAACGTGCACGGGCGTCCAGCCATCCGCGTCCTTTTGAAACGGCTCGGCGCCGTGCTTCAGCAGCAGTTGGACGATTTTCTTGTGGTCGTGCGCCACCGCCAAGTTTATCGGCGGATCGACCCAGCCCGCTTTCGTCTCTTCAGACGAGCAATCGGGATTCAGCCCGTGTTCGAGGAATTTCTTGACGACGTTTGCGTGGCCAAACTCGCAGGCCACATGGAAATGCGTGAGTCCTCTGTCGTCACTGTAATTCGCGTCGTAACTGGTGTAAATTTTGAAAAGATCTGCGACGGTATCGGGGTATCTTAGTCTAGCCGCGCAGTGCAGCGCAGTGGCGCGACGCAATATCGGCTTGCCGTCTTCATCTAGCTCGGGCCTGTCTTTGTAGCCGGCTTTGATAGCAAATTTAACGAGTTTGGTACAGTTGTAAATGTTATTACAGATACATTTGCTCTTCACGTTCTCCGCGAGAAGCCAATTCATTTCTTCGCTTCGAAATATGTCTCGGAGGTTAGGAAGTTGGCCCTTCCAACGATTGGCCAAAATTGCAAAACTTTTGAGTAACGCGTATCTGTCTTCCTCGATCTCCCAATTGGCCTTTTCTCGAATGGCTTTCAATTTTTTCAAGCAATTCTGATCGTTTTTGGCCATTATTCTGCACAATCGCACAACACACAGTCGTTGAAAATTTATACACTATTTTTTACTCTTTCTCAAGGGAATCACAGGCCGCGCTCGATGCGACTTTCTTTTGTTGCTGTTTACGTTGCCGCGTCCCAACGTGTACTGAGCGAACACAGAACGACTCGACGTTCGAAATGCGGCGCTGCTGCTGCCGTATAAGTGACGCACCACACAAAGACAAGATCAAGATGTGATGTTTTGAAACGCGTTGACCGCCGCTTGATGTTATTTTGCAGCCGAATATATTTTATGTTAAAATGCAACGACTTTCTTTATACTGTATTGCGATGGTGAATTTATATGTGAACTATTACTCGCGTATCGATGACTCGATTAATTAATGAACTCTTTGCATGTCAAATTTAAGCAGAATATAAAGACGTCAGATTTTCCATTGACTCCGCTTCTTGTAACTTTTATCGACACATAAGGTACTTACTTTTGCACTAATTTGTAGTCTATAAAAATTAGATAATATTTCAAAGCTTCATGATTGATTATTTTTAGGAATTCATTATTGAGGTAAATGAATTACACTTTGCAGTTCAATTTCAAATTTTATTTCAGTAATTTTATACTTGCTAATTACAAGAATTTGACATTTTTATTCTGATTATTAGTTCCCTCATAATAAATTTATTTCAATTCCAACTCTATAACCGTTTGAGAACTGTTTCAGGGGATGACTACAAAAAAAAATCATTACACACTTATTGTTTTTACACAGACGTAACGAAGCTCAAATTATCGTAATTGTGATTTATTAAATTTTTTCAGTAGCCATGCACATGTGGAACAAATCTTTGTTTGAAAGCTCCTGCATGATTTTTTCGCAGCAAAGAATCGGCAGCTGACAGTGAGTCAGTGTAAAAAAAAACTCCAGTCGCCAATGCTGCAAAAATTCTCTCGTCACTTTATTACATAGTTTCGTTATACAGGAATTGCGATGGATTTGGGGAATCTTCGCCTCGTTCAATTTCAACTGAACGGGGGTGTAAATGTATTTTAAAAAGGATCGCGACACGAGTAACGGATCATCGCTCATAATTATCCGTTTCAATGCGTCCGCTACCTCGTCGTCGCACCAAGATTTGCCAGTATCCGGCGTCTTCTCGAACAATCCGATCTCAGCGAAAACTTTCATGATCGTCAGGGCGTCTTCTCGCTGCAGTTCGTATCCTCTTTTTCCCAGAAACTCGACGACGATCAGAGCGTTAAACGTTCGTTTCAATTTTAAATAATCCTTTAGATTTTCGAGTCCCGAATCTTTAGAACCCCCCTTGAATTGTTCCTCGGTAGGAAAAACGAAGCTGGACAGATCTGCGCCACGACCCAAGAGCTTAAAAATCATATCCGGCGAGAGACTCGCCACGGCCAATCGCAGCGGTGTACTGCCCGAGTTGTCTTTTGCGTCGATTTTTATCGTCCGCTGCGTTTCATCGTTGATCTCGAAGAACGAGTTCACCGAGTCAACGTCGGAATTCATGCAAAGTAAGTGCAGAGGCGTCGATCCGTGTTTGTTCGCCAAATTTGGATCCGAGCCGCCTCTCAGCAGCAACCCTACCACCTCGCGTCGACGGTAACGCACAGCCAAGCATAACGGCGAGTCACCCGTTTTCGCCACGAGGCAATTGGGATCCTGGCCGAGTTCGAGGAACTTGTTGACGACGTCGTTGCAGCCGGCCTGGTAAGCCGCGTGAAAGTGCGTAAATCCATCTTCGTCGACGTAGTTCGCGTCGAATCTGTCGTATATCTTGAATAGATTGGCGACGGCGCCGAATAATTCGCGTCTAGCTGCGTGATGCAGCGCAGTGGTGCGACGCAGCACTGGCTTACCGTCTTGGTCGAGTTCGGGCTGATCTTTGTAGCCGTAAGTCCTGATCACGAATTTGACGAGTGGAATTCCTCGAGAAACGGGGCTCGGCCTTTCTAATTCGGCGATCACATCCAGAATGAGAAGCGTCTCGATTTCTCTGGGTCGAAAAATTTTTCGGGGTTTCGGAATAGGGTCCAAATTCCCATTCCAATTATTCCAATTATTCCAATTATTGATCGCATGAAACAGATCTTTGAGAAACAGCGTTGATCGTTCATCTTCGATATCCCAATTGACCTCTTGACGCATAGTTAACAAATTTTTTGCAAAACTTGAGCCCATCGTTGTTATTATTCCACTCACGAAAAACACCGCTTATAACATCACTTATAATTATTGTAACGTTAATATTATACTTTTACGAAAAATCGCCGAAAGCAATTTAAAGCGAGATCTCGACTCTGTTTATATATCACTACGTCAGCGACGTTGTAACGCATACTGAACGTACAGCATGCGGATCGACTGTAAGCAAGTAAGAGTCGCTCTGTTATCTTTCACATTCTCGAGACGAGTCGAGCGCATTGGCAATGATGTAAATATATACGTCGCGGCACAATACGAGAAGCGAGAGAAGCTCGATATTTTTTGTTTAATATAAAATTTCGTAGTGAATTCAGTATAACCTCAGACGAATACAAGGCAACAGTAATGAAAACAGTTCGAAAATAATTCATGTTTTTTCGTGACATTCATACTAAAGGGACATTTTGAGAGATGCAAGTTTGCATGTTACATTTAACAGCGTACAATACAGGGGAGTCTACTATAAATATGCCGAATTAGTTTCATCAATAAACCAATTTCACGTCCCGATGATCTCTTACTCGAGCTACTTATACACTTAGACGATTGTATCAGCTTTTACCCACAAACCATACACGTAATAACGTTCGTTTGCCGCCGAGCAGCTGATACGATCTTTACAAGCGGATTACGACTCTTTAATTATATCATCGTCACACGCTGCGCGGAGTGTGTTGACCTTATCGAGCGGCGCGAACATACGTTACATGCAAAATCATACCTATATACGTGTGGGATGAATTCTTCTCGCGAATCGCTGCATATGCGCATAGAGTCTCGATCCAATGTTTGGATTCTCCGGCGTCGATTCAACCCGACTATATAGGAAATTGAATTGTGTCGGGGATATGGAGTGTCGGCCGCCCCTTCCGTATAATAACAATGATGATAATAAGGTTGAACAGTTTGAAGCAAAGTAGATTTCCCCACCTACGCGCTATATACAGTCGCGTCAATTTACACCTATGAATTTCGTTTGGGCGAGACGATTTCGTCGTGAGCTGGGGTGAGAAAAGGGAAAGAGCATGTCTCAACTAGTGTCCAAAGGTCAATTTACCTTGGTAAATTTGAGGTCCCTCAAATTGTAACATTCACGCGCCCATGCGGCAGAGAGTATACGGAAGGAGAAAAAGAGACTGCCGAGGTAGCCGCTCTTACACAAAATTGAATTAACATCGTTCTTTTTTCCTTTTCCTTTTCTTGTGTTTCATGGGGTAACCCTTTTTTTTCATTCTTTCATCCGACCTATTCGAATCGATCGGTGCGAACGAGCCGTGCGAAAAATTAACAGGTTGGATAATGCACGACGATGCTCTCGTGCTTTCGAATCGAATGCTTAATTAGAGCACGGAAAGGCGGGGGCTCGGAGAAATATATTACGTATGTATGATATGTAAAGCGTTCCGACACCCTCGAACGCGCGTGTGTGTGTGTGTGCGTGCGTGAAATGCGAGAAAGAGAGCCCGGAGATCTAGCTCGTCCTCTTGTCTTTTTGTACGGTTGAATTTTATATGACCGGACTCCCCGTTGCAAAAAAAAAAAAAAAAATTACGTCTAAATTCGCGTTAACTTTTTTTTCTCTTTTGCCTTCTTCGCTCTATTTAACACGACGAGCAGTGCACGGAGAGAGAGAGACACGGGGGACGGAAAAAAGTGCCCTACGACAACGATACAAGATCTCGCTCGCTTCGGCGGAGCTTGGAGAGTTTCCAAAAAAGTCACCTCCCTCTAGACTATACGGGAGATGTGTCCGAAAAATTTGTCCGCGTCGTTATTATTAAATTTTCTAATTGCCGGGCCACGGTACGATCGTTTCGACGCGCGGCTGCTGCAGTCGTCCGAGAAAAATTGCTGAGTCATAAAGGACTCGAATTACGTGTCGACGTATAGTAATGATAAAAAAATGTCGCAACGAAAAAATGATGATATCAGGATTAGTGTAAAAGCCGATCGTCGCGTGCTTGGCTCATTTAGTTTCTGTAGCGCATCGAGTCGAGTTTACGGATGAAATGAAAATAATGTCGAGAAATTCTATACCGATCGTCGACACGATTCGGGGCTAAAATTAAGATTGACAGTTTTGTCGTTTGAGACCAGACCAGACACATGAAAAAATAAGTAAACAATTGAAATGCATGTATTTTTTTTTGTAGCAATTAAGCTTTTTTCGAAAACCAAACATTGCGTTTTTCTGTCAATAAAACGACTTATTCAGAGTTTGACATTGCCGAAATTTTTAGAAAATTTATTCTCAAGTTTCTTTTAGCTTTGAGATACTTGAAGAAAAATTATACACAAAACTTAGAAAAAAAACATTCAAATACTATGATTAATGATAAATGCTAACTTAATTAAACGCGAATTCAATTATTTTTTACTTGACAAACATCATTAACTTACCGAAAAAGTATTGTAAAATATAAAATTTAAGAATTCGTGTGAATTTATTCAGAACTTTTCGGACACCACTTTGGAATTTTGGATTGAAACAAGGTTTTCGAAAAATACAAAATGAATAAAAAACATCATGTCCAATGCGTGCTATGTAATTTATTATTTCATGTGCAAATGATTAATGCAATTTATTCTTGTAATTTATTTTACAAAATTACAGAGCATTCATATCAAAATTTTATCATTTCTACAATAGTTAGTAAGTAAGTACAATTTTAAGTAATTTTGTAGTTTATAAAATTGTAAAATTACATTTGAAAGGCTTAGCTAAGATTATGTACTGCTCTCGAGTGTTTTTTTAAGGCATGCTGATATCTAAATGATTTGTGACAAATGTCACATTCAAAGGCTTTGCTTCGATCATGGATTACGTTTATGTGTTTTTTAAGGGTATGTTTTTGCCCAAATGATTTGAGACAAATGTCACATTCGAAGGGTTTGATACGATTATGTATAACGTGCATCAACGTGACGTTTGAGGTCACTTTTTTTCCAAATGATCTTTGACAAATCACACATTCAGAGGCTCTGTTTGAATTATGTACGAAATTTATGTGATTTTTTAAGGTATGCTGGTATCCAAAAGATTTATAACAACTGTCGCATTCGAAAGGTTTGCTGCGATCATGTACTGAATTAACGTGTATTTTGATATTATTTTTGTTTGAAAACAATTTGCCGCAAATCTCACATTCAAAGGGTTTACTGCGAATATGTACTGTATTTACGTGAGTTGTGAGGTTTGTTTTTTGTCCAAATGATTTGTGACAAATCTTACATTCAAAGGGTTTACTACGATCATGTACATCGTTGACATGACGTTTAAGTTTACTCTGGCATTCAAATGCTTTGCGACAAATCTCGCACTCGAAGGGTTTGCTACCAATATGCACTGCACTGATGTGAATTCTAAGATTACCTTTTTTTCCAAATGATACGTGACAAATCTCACATTCAAAGGGTTTGTTACGATTATGTACTACATCAATGTGGTTTTTCAAGGTTTGCTGGTATCCAAACGATTTGTGACATATCTCACACTCGTAGGGTTTAATACGATTATGTACTACATCGATGTGGTTTTTCAAGGTTTTTTGGCGTCCAAACGATTTGTGGCAAATATTACATTCAAAGTAGTTATTTTTTCGCCTTTTTAGACGTTCTTTGTCTGTATAAGTTTCTTGACACTTTTTTGATACATCCGTTGATTTTTTTTCGATGGTTTTATCATCATTTTTCAATTTCTCACATTTGACAATTTGTGCCTGGGAGTAAACGTTGAATTGGCAATTTTGTTCATAATTAAACCCTTTTTCTATTAAAATTCTCAGACTTTTTTCATTCCCGTAATTGTTCGGTTTTTCGTTTTCGATTTTCACAGAAGATAGACAACTTGGATTCTCAGATTTGCAAATGTTCACGGATAGAGGCGGCAGTTCAAGTTTTTCATTTTTGCACTCAAAATCTATGAATATTTTTCCATCTGAATTTTTCTGCAACGCCATAACCTCATTCGCGTTATTCGCCTAAAGTTAAAATGTTGAGATAGTTATTGATGATAGAAAAACAGAACATTATTCTAATCATTTAACTTACTGTCAATTCGTAAAATGGTAATGTTTCAACGTTTTCGGTTTTGCAAGAGTCCACCAAATCGAAAACATAATCTTCACCATTGCTCGTCCATGCATCGCTCTCCGGCTCCTCCTTAACCCTGAAAAACAACCGATTTTATTTTAACAACCGAATTTATTTATAGATATATATTGTTCAAAAAAATGATCACGCTAGCATAGCACACCAAAATATTTACCTAATTACATCGATATTGCGTTCCATGACTCGCTTATAATCGCTGTAATTTTACAAGATGAACACCGAGAAAAAATTTGAGGTTAAACTGCCTCTGCAATAGCTACAGCACTGCACCTCGACTTAACCTTTATGCAATTTTACAGATATAATTTGTAAACACTTGCTCGACTCGTAAAGATTCACATTACGCTGCGTAACGAGTGATTTCTTCGATCGTACTTACATATTAGCCAGGCGATTGTTATTGTTCAATGACGAAACGTTCCTTCTCTACTGACGACCGCCTTGATAAACGCAGTTGTTGAGCACTGGTGCAGCTATATGTTCACTGTAGATTCTACAATAATGGGTTTCACAAAAAATACTTGTTTTATGCTTCAACAAAAAAATTATACCATTTTCATTTTATTTATCTGAATGTTATTGTAATCCCAAGGCCAATATAGGCATTGCCTCTACCTAGCTGTAATTTACGTTTTCTCGCTGATGCAGAATTAAACTTGAACCGGTGTACGTCCGACACAAGGGGGNCGATTACAAAGAGAGACGCTCTCGTATAAATACCGCATCGGAGCACTCGAACCGTCGACTCTTTGATGAGAATTAGCAAGTCAAAATCATGCGCGCGGCTCGATAGAGTATTAAGTACGTATATATCATCATACGCGTACGGTACCTCGCGTATAAATTCTCGTCGAATATATATATGTTTCCGCCGAGTAAAGGGCCGAATTGCTCTCCTCGACTGGCCTTTCTAATTTTAGGCAAGAGGACGGGCGTATAGGTGGGCGATCGTCGGGCGCTTTTCGTGCGGCCTTTGTGTCTGCGCGGGCACGAAAACGCGACGATGTATGTATCGATATCCGCGCGCTGTCCTTTACACGCGATCGAATCGAATTCGCATTCTGCGCTCGAAATTACTGCGTAAGATTGAGCTCGAGACGAAATTACGATGCGCGGAAAGAGGAGAGAATAGCCTGCAGAAGTGGAAACAGTCGAACTCGTATAGGATGCCAAGAGCCACGAGCTGCCAAGCTCTTGTATTTTTACTCATACATCATATCGTGCTTGTGCGGATGTACTTTGCATCTCTTTTTGCCCACAAAAAAAAAAACAAAACAAAAACAGCTCGCAGCAATGACGCTATATGGCAGGGATAGTGACGCGCCTCTCTCGCTAAATTCGGTTAGTGTTACAAAGCAATATATCGCGTATACTACGCATATATTCTCGTTTTATCGTAACTTCATTCTGCCTCGTGAAATTTTACGGATCGCTTCTTTTCAATAAATTTTACCTTCTGCGCTCGCGCATGATATTTCCGAGAGTATAAGAAGCAGGAGAAGAGAAAAAAAATTGTGTTTTTTTTCGCATGAAAGAGAGAGAGGCAAACTCGAAACGAAGTCGTATAACGTCTTATATGAGATCCTCGAGACAGTTAAAGCGAGGCCATTGACCCATACGATCGCGTATACGCGGCGCAGGGACTCTCTTTTTGGCCCGCGGCCAATATCATTCGTCGGATAGTCAAACTTAATATATACGTACACCCGTTTTCTTTACTCCTTCTTCCCTTTTTTTCTTTTTTTTTGCTCTCTTTTCGTGCTTAACTCGATTGTGTGCGGCGCGAGCGGACGCGGCAAGAAAAACGGGGAACTACGCGCGCGAATAAAGTGCACGCGATGTACGAAAAAAATTAAAAAAGTCGCGGGGGGCCGTTAATTTCTTATCGCCCCAACGCGATCGTCACCAAATATAGTTCGATATAACTTTGTCTCGCGCGCTCGCATTAACGGGGGCGAAAAAACTGGGCCACGTCGTCCGCGCACCTCCCGTTGACGAAGAGCTCGGCATAATTTGGCCGAACGATCGTGGAAAAGACAAAGAAACTCGTGCCACGCAAAGTGCGCGGAGACATAATAATTACTGAACTGGACGCCAGATGGCTCGAGACCGAATTTCATTGTAAACGCGCGATCGAAACATATGGGTTGGATAAATAAAATTGTCTACGATACTTACTTATCAGTTTGAAGCAGGCGATTCACTATGATAGGTTTAAGGTTGTTCTAATAAAAGAAACACTTATAGTTTAAGAACACTTTATTATATTATGCAAACTGTTAAAATAGGACAAAGGGGTCCGCGCAGCGCAAAGGCTCAAACAGAAGTGAGTGCGCGCCGGATACGGCATCAATATCAAGCTGTCGAAGATAGCCGCTAGGTGGGCAGAGGGCAGAGGCGACAGTCGCTCAAATCTAACACACTAGATGTTTTCAGTTGAAATTATGCTAGATTCTTTCACCGTTAAAGCTAGATCGCCACAGTAAATATCACGAATGCGACAACTCATGATCGCTGTTGTAAAAAGAATCTTAAATTTAATGCAGATTTCGTGTTAAATCAGGCGTTAAATTTGAAAAATTCGATACCGAATTTCATTCAAAGTACTTTTACACGAAATCTTCCTTAAAATTCAATGTATCTGAATTACGGATTTGATTTCAAACTCAAATTGAAAACTTTCGATCACAAAATTATTGTTTTCGAACTGATTTAGTCTTTGTTCCATTTGTATAAAATATTTACGAAAATTCAATCTCAATTAATGCCATCCTTCGCCGCTAGATGGCGAGCACATTTATCTGTAAGTCTGCAAGTGAAAAAGTCAAAATAATTGCATAAGTCAAAATTTCATAAGTCAAATTTACATATGTCTTCTTCGTAATATGGATCCCGTTGCTAGTGTTTAGAGCTTCTAATTATAAGCGTTGAGTATAATGTTATCGAACGTTTACATTTCAACTAGTGTAGAAAATTAAAAGCAATTACGAACCTACGTTGATATAAAAAAGAATAAAAATCAATGCGATCTCAATCAAATTTAACGAATTTAACATTTGATTTCAATGTAAAATTTATAACAAACGATATAAATTTGACTCGAATCGTATTAAATTTATTCATCTTCATACGTTACCATACAAGCAGGCCATTCATATTGAAAAAAATAGAATTTAACATTAAACAATTCAAGTAATTTTATATAACAAAATGCAAGTAATTCGATTTAAAAAGTTCAAGTAAATCAATTTACAATAGAAAAAAAAAGTAGCGCTGCAAGATGTGTAACTAAAGTCACATTTAAAGGTAAAAAATAAAAAAAATAAACAAATAAAATAAACCAAATAAAACGAAAAAGTACTTGACGTTGCACTTCTGGTGTCCGAGCATATTAAACAAAAATCACCAGAAGTGCAACGTCAAGTACTTTTTCGTTTTATTTGGTTTATTTTATTTGTTTATTTTTTTTATTTTTTACCTTTAAATGTGACTTTAGTTACACATCTTGCAGCGCTACTTTTTTTTTCTATTGTAAATTGATTTACTTGAACTTTTTAAATCGAATTACTCGCATTTTGTTTTGATTTAATTACTCGAATTTTAGATAAAATTACTTGAATTGTTTAATGTTAAATTCTATTTTTAATATTCATAAAGACGTTACACATCTTACAGCTGTTCTTATACAGCTGATTTTGTTTTAATAAAACTGATTCAATTTTAATAAAACTGATTTTTCGATTTATTCTGTAGTCAATACCTTCCGATTAATTGTGATTTCGTTTATTGAGTGTCGAGGCCGCTTGCGCGGCCTCAACTTACATTAAGTTCCGTTTCAAAACGAATTCAAGTTTAATTCAAATTTTCGATTTAGTTTTAATAATTTTGACCGATCAACACACGTAAAAACGCAACGCGCGAGCGAGAGACAGAGACGCAGAGATACACAACGCTACATTGTACGTTTCATAGAAATGAGCTCTGACTGTCGAGTACTGCTCGCCCGTGCTGTGCGTGTCGCAGCAGAAGCGAACTAGCAGTCACTCGACACTGCCTAGCGTAGACCAATCACAGCGCGAGAAGCAAACAGACGCTACTGAGACTAAAAACCTACGATTATCGCGCTCGCTCGCTCGCTCGTTTTTCACGGATTCACTAGCCTACCCAACGAGCCATAAGACGTTACACATCAAAAAGGTACGAATGAATTAGCCTCGCAGTATATTTACGCCTTATACACCTGTAAGAATTTGTTTTTTTTTTTACACTCAATCGTTATCGAGCTATTTCTTTACTCGAGGCGCCGCCTCGCAAGCGTCAATATACATTCGTTCCGTCGATACGTCCCGCAAAAAGTTTGTACATGTACAAGAAGACACAACGGAACGTGTTACGGTTCGTACATATATACAACACAATATACAGACGTCATAATACGACGCGCGCTCGCGGCAAAGGCTTTTATCCCCCTTTTACCGAAGAGAATATATTCGTTTCAGTTTGCTCTGCTTTCTCTTACTTATGTACTCTCCCTCTATCCTCTGTATATAACCCCCCTTCGCCCTGGTATATATGTAATCCAGTTCCACGTGCCGCGACGGCTCTTACCGTCTTGTCTATACCGCCGTCGGTTTTCCCGCGCGTACCCTCCACTTCGCGTTTTATTCCACTTTATATATACGCGTGTCTGTATAGATAGATATATATAAGAGAGAGAAAGAGACACGTCTGACGCATCGAGTCGTCGTCGTCGTCGGGAGTACATAGCGCATAAGACATTATTTGCTCGGATAAGTAAAATCCACAGTCAGTTAGTTTCGCTTCTACGATGTATATACCGTAACGAAACGGCGGAGCAGTCAAAATCAGGTTTTCGGGATGTGTACAAGGCCACGAGAATAGATATAGATTTTCGCTCGAACTGCGCGGATTTATCGCGATTATTACCAATTCCCTGTTACGGCAGTTTGAATTTATACAATAAATACGTGTACATATACTTGTATGTGTGTGTGTGTGTGTGTGTGTGTGTGTGTGTGAGCGACCATCAGACGCGCGGATACGAGCCGCCGCCGGCCGACCAATTGGTCACCGGCAAGGATGAATTGTGCATCGGTAGTGCAGAGAGAGAGAGAGAGAGAGAGAGAGAAAGATAGATAGATGGATAGATAGATAGAGAGCGGCTACTACTACTACTAGTACACTGCGTTGGTCACCCGTGGCGGCGAGCGAGCTCTTATAACTGTTTCCGCGGTGATTCATTGTCAATAACAGAAGTGCGCGCCCCGCGCACAGCAGCAGTAGCAGTACCGAAATTAATCGGTGTACAATAGCTGCAGTGCAGTAAGCGCATGCTAGAACGAGAGCCGAACCTTCTGCCCCCGCGCGCGTGCACGGCAACGATGTAT